TCCGTGAAGCATAGCATGATGACTCAGGAGCAGTTCCTGGAGCATGCGAGCTGGCCTGAGGTCAAACCTTCTTTTGGAGAGGGGGCGAGTGCTTCTGGTCCTGATGGTTGCAGTGCTAAGGTAGCAGATGATGATGATGATGATGATGATGATGATGATGATGATGAGGATACTGATGGGGATTCCGTTTCAGATAGTGTAGAGGATACTGAGTCCGATGAGGGCTGATTTTGTGTTATTTGTTAGTTTTATCATACTTTGTTTCAGTTTGGATATTGTACTAGGTGTTTTTACACCTATGCACATTTTATTAAGTTTAATTAATGTCAAGTTTTATGTTTAAAATTTTTTATTTTTTTTTCTTTTTAAGTGGTAATTAGTACCTTTTTGTTGTTGAGTTTTAACTAAACTTCTAGATTGGTTGCTCTCTGAAAAGAAGTATCCAGTGAAGATGCATCCGAGTTTGGATGACAATGATAATATTAAGCAAGTAAATAGTGTCAAGGTACATGGCTACCTTTGGTTAGAATTTTAGAATGCTTAAGAACTTAAATCTTGTTGTAAATGAATATTGTTCTTTTAGCAACTTATTGAATGAATGTTTCACTTAGGTCTACAAAACCACAAAATTGTGAGGAAACCTCCATTGTGCACTAAATGCTGGATCTCTAATAGACTTTGTTGATTCGTTTGATTCATGCTTTATATTGAATTATTGTGAATTTATGGAAGCAATTAGAAATGATCAAGGCACTTGTTTTTATTGAGCACAACCAGTTCCAAATGCAACTTACCCGTGAGCATAGAGTATTCGTTAACTCCCTTGAGCCTAAACAGTGTGAATCTCAGTCTGAATTTGTGTGAGATTCTGATTTTTTTTCTTGAACCCTTGAATTTTGTGTTAATTGTCCTCTTTGCCTTAAAAAGTCAAGAGCATTCACTTGAGGGTTGAGTAAAAGTTAAGTTGGGGAGAATGAATAAGAAGTATGGTAGGTTGCTACAACTTTTGAAAAATTCAAGCAAACATTGGAAAAATTGTTATGTGAATATGAATGTAAAAAAAAGAAGGAAAAAAGAATGTTTTCTTGGAAAATAAAAGAAAAATAGTGAAATAATAAGTTGTGAAAAAGAGTTGGGAATGTTTTCAAGTGAGGAACGAGAGGAATGAAGTTGAGATGTGTAAATAACTTGTACAGTGAATGTTTCTTTTGCATCGGCAATTTCATTTCAATGGCCTTAGAAATGTCCCTTATTTGTAAACCCGACCAAGATACAATTGTAAAAGACCTTAGTGATCTTCTTGCTTCCATATGTTCATTTATGATTGCTATATATTGTATGAATTAGATTGATATTGTCATTGTTTGTTAGGTGAGTGAAATTGTCCCCGCGATTGCAAACGCATAATTTCTTCAATCCTTTTTCAAAGAGGAGAGATAGGGTGATTCATTCAGAAAGACATAGTTGTTGATTGATATATGTTTTGAATTGCTTTAATATTTTAGTTCTTGTGTGTTGTTTGATTCTCACCAGTGGGAACCTGTGTCTGGTTGAATTCCTTGTGTTTGAGCCATTTAATCCATTCTTGGAGGAATCTTATTCTCGAGAAAATCCTCTTGTTTCATCAAGAGGCATACTTTGCTTGAGGGAAATCAAAGATCTAGTTGGGGAGAGTTGTTAGATGCTCAACTTTACTTATTTGAACTATTAAATATGGGTATCTTTCACTCCTTTTTGTAGAAAAAGTGTTAGAATCACTCTTGCTTTTGTTGATTTGCACCATTATGTGAAAATATCTTGGTTCCTTTGATTTATGTGCTATTGTGCAGGAATTAGGCATGAAAAATTGAAGAATAAGACACAAGAAGTATGACAAAGAAACCAAGTCAACATGCAAATAATAGCAAGTTCGCACAGCGAACTTGCTAGTGAAGCTTGCCAGAAAACTTCACAAAGTTCGCACAACAAACTTGCCAGCAAAGGCCAGGAAACTCAATGTACTGTTCATCCAGAAAGAAAAGGGACATAAGTTCGCTGTGCAACAGAGGCAGCGAAAAACTTGCTGGAGCAAAGAGGCAGCAAAGGTCTAGCGAACACTCCCAGACTTGAGGGAATAGGTATTTGGATAAGAATTCACTGTGCGAAGTTTGCAGCAAAGTCTTTGCACTGCGAAGGATTCTTCGCACAACGACCATTTGGAAATCTATCAGGGGAGTCTCCACTGTACAAAGGCACTTCAGGTGCCAATTTGAATGTTCGCTAGGCGAACACTTTCTTCGCACTGCGAACATGACAGCTCAGCAGGCCTTCTATAAGTAGTATGTACCACTTTTTGGGAAAGATGTCTTTTTCTTTGTACTTTCTTTTGAGAGGATTTTCAGACCTAAAAACCTTGTCTATCCATTTCTCATCATTTCTTAGCAATATTTCACAAAAAGAAGGTGGATTCCCATCCAATCTCGATTATTCGACTCGGATGTTGATCAACCTTCTTCCGAAACTTGTTGCTCAAGCTATCATGGAAATGGGTGACTAAATCCCTCTTTTGTCAAGGTTAGAGGTAGCTAGTTCATATTTTATATATTCTTCTTGATCTTTTGTATGTGAACAATGCTTTGATCAATGTACATGAAGTTATTTGATATCTTTTGTATATTTATGGTTTGGATTGCTTTAGACATGAACTTTCCAAGTCTTGACCTAATTCCTTCATCTATCAACTATACAAATTCTAGACATAGGTTTGAAAGTTGATATTCACTTTGTATTGATGTTAATGATTATTGTTTCGAGTGTTATTTATAGAGATCATTTAACGATCGAAAGAATAATATTCACGAAACCGCTTTAGAAATGAATGTTTTTGCGAGGATACACAATTATGTTGGTTAAAACTACGTTCACATATTTGATCGGTTGGATACGTTTAGGACAGATTAGTGAACCCTAATCTTGACATGCTTTTCTCAAACTTAGAACAAATTTTATTCCGTTTTAACTCTTGCAAACTCTTGTTACAAAAATAGAAACCATTTTAAAAATTCCCCTTTCTTAAATCATTAAACCATTGAACGACAAGCATCTCATATTCTCATCAATCCATGTGGATACGATAAAACACTACCACAAAATACTTTCTAACACTCGACCTTGCTTATTCCCACCCTTACTCATACTTTTACAAGACTTTGGTAACTCAGACAGACATGACCAAGTGTACTTCCACACTTCCCCTTTTTTACAACTGGGAGGCTTTCAAGTTCCTTTTTCAGATAGACTGATTATATAAGCTTTTCAATGGAATCTTGAGTTTCCTACTTGATGAGACTTGAGGTGTCTTCAAGTTTATCACCATCATCATAGACATGGAAATATGTTACCATCGACTTCAAAAATCATTAGTGTTGTTGTCATCAAAACACTTAGGAAGGTCATTAGTAGTGACTTCACTGCTTACGCTTTTGTAGTAGCTAACTCATAAGAGGAGGTGCACCAACTGCGACATGATGTGCTTTATTTTCCTGTACCCTATTTTCTCAAAAGAAAATACATGCAAGTTTCAATAGATAATATAATATCATTTATATTGAAAATATTACACCGATGGGTAATTAAATTATTAAGCCTTTAAGTGACTATTAGAAATACTTAGCTTAATTATCGTTTGTGTTTGAAGGCCTTAACAAGCCTTCTGTCCTCAACAATTGAAAGTGGGTTACCGCCCTCTTGGGAAATATCGGGGTTAAATTTTGGAATCAGTCTTGAAGCCTTTGTTTGTCCCTTGTTCGCGAACCAACTTCATTTTCTTGTCAGGTTTCGCCTTTCTGGATCCTGAAGTTAACTATGTTGACTTTTTTTGTGAATCTTTCCAAGACTGACTACGGATGCACAAAAATCAGTTGGCTACGCTTTTGGGATGCAATGCGTTCCACGTAGGCTAACAACAGTGGCTGTCAGTTCTTCACTCTTATTGTCTCATTCCTTTCTCAGGAGAAATAAGAGTGGTTTTGTTCTAAGCAATGTCAGTTTTGGCATACCTAGAGTTTCATTGATGGCCTTCTCAATGAGATATGAAGAAGTGTCTACCTAAAGCTCTTATATCTTTATCTTCTCTGACAAGCCTTGAAGATCCTATGATCTCGCTTGGATGAGAGGTGGAACTGAAAGATGTTAATAGGTCTTAACTCTCATGCATCCTCAAACCACATATTTGCATCCCTAACTCTGTGAAGGTTCTGAAGTACTTCAAATCGTTGGGACATCTGCTATCAATTGGAAGGTCCAACGCCTCTCGATTCCCTACGACGATGGTTGCAATTGTATAGGTCGTTGCATCAGGGATCTTGTTCATCTTTTCATGATTTTAGAACCTTTAATCTTCTTTTGTTGCTTCTTCATTCCTTGTCTTGCATCTTCGACGCAGAAGGGCTCAATGACGTAGGTTCCCCTCTAATCTCGTCAACAACAAAGATCAGAGACAATACTAATTTGGATGATTCGTAAAGATCATTCATAGTGAGATATGAAATTACCCATTCCTAAAAAATAATTAACTAATATTAAATTAAAATTTTTAAAATTATTCTCGTTCTAAGAATATTTTTTATAAAACAACATATTTAATATAAAAAAATTATTTAAATTATTTAAATTTTAAAATAACAAATAATAATTATAAATAAAATAAAAAAAGATAATATTAACTTGTGCTCTACGTGCAAAAGTTGAGATAAATAAAAAAAATTTATACTAAAAATTGTGCATTGACATTAATAAAATAAAAGTATCTCATTAAACTTGTACTTAAAAGACACAAGATAATATTATCTTAAAAAAAAAACATTTAAAGAAGAATGAGCTAATTTTACGTTATTCATATTCCAACACATTACATTTTCTTCCAAATGTCAGCTTAAACACACCACAACCACATTCATAAGAACAAAAGAAAGACAATAAACCCAAAAAAAAAAAGTGATTTTTACTAGCAATTTCTCAACTTAAACCCTAGCAAGTTTAATTTCCTTAAGCTCCTTAATCAACTCCACCATATTATTATAAGAAGAACCACCAACTTGAATAGCTTTCTTTGCTTCAACGCTCAACTTTTTAACTCTATTCCTCATAGCAACTTCTTCTTCCCCACCCTCCATCATCAACCTAATAGCATTCCCAATGTCTTCCCTTTTCACAACCTCACTCCCAAACTCATTCCAATTCCTCCATTCTTTAGCCCCAACAGGAACACCAATTTTCAACACATCAACCACAAGCTTCTCATTGAAAAAATGTTCTGCAAACAATGGCCATGTCACTGTTGGTAACCCAACATTCACACTCTCAACAACAGTGTTCCAACCACAATGACTCACCAACCCTCCAATTGCAGGGTTCTCAAGTATCAACAACTGTGGTGCCCAACCCCATATCAAATACCCTTTACAACTTTCCTTAACCTTCTTCTCAAACTCCTCAAGAAAATCATCACTTTCTCCATTTCCTTCGTTTTTTCTAACAACCCAAATGAAATCATGACCTGAATCTTCAAGCGCATGTGCAATTTCAACTAGTTGTTCATAAGGAAACTTGTTCATACTCCCAAAACTCACATACAAAACAGAGCACTCTGTTTTTGAATTCAACCATTTCAACCACCCTTGTTGTTCCTCCTTCTTTTCACCCTCTTCTTCCTTTGAATACCCTCTTGCAGCTTTATCTGAATCATCTTGATTAGCCCATAAAGAAACAGGTCCAAGTCCCCAACTTTTTGTTCCCATAACCTTCTTATAATGATCATAATAATCGCTTTCAAGTTCATAGAAACTATTGAAAACAGAACCAAAACTTTTCCTCTCTGATTCCTTAATAACTTTCATCAACTCAGTATATTGATTCGGCGATCGAAGCCAATCTGGTATCTGCAAACGCGTCATCTCCAATTCATCAGGCAACTCCGGTAAAACGAATTTCTCAGTATCAGACTCAGTTTTCAAATGGGGTGCAAACAGTTCCACAGAATGCGCAGCAGAGCGAGCAAGATAGCTTGCCCCATGAAACATAATCCTAGGAAAACCGAGTTTCTTAGCAACATCTGCTGTCCAAGGAAAGAACATGTCAGTGACAATGAAATCCGGTTCAAGAGTTTCGAACAGGCTTTCGATTTCGGGTTGGAGAAGGAAGAGACCCATGTAGACTTTTGGGGTCATTTCTTTTGGTGTGTTGACACTGAAAGACTCTATTCCTACTGGAAGACCAACTTTGGCTGCTGGGAATTCGATGATGTGGGTTCTGATGGATCTGCCGCGAGATGAATCGAGGTTGATGGAGTTTTGGAAAATGGTGGAGTTGTGTTTTGTGGAGATTATGGTTACGTCTACGCCATGAAGAGCGAAGAGTCTTGCCATGTCTACTAAGGGAATTATGTGACTTGTTGAGAGAAAAGGAAGGAAAATTGATTTCAACTTTGGTTCATTTTGATTCTCCATGGTTATGGTGATTTTGGGATGCAATGATTTTGTAACACACTGTAGTGTTTTTGGTTGTTTGTTTATATAAGAGGAGTTGTTGTGGTGATGAAATGCATTGATTGAAAACTCTTGAAAATTTGTTTAATTAAGCAAAATTGGTTTTCTGCATGCACCTCGTGGAGCAGTTCCTCTTACATTGTTGAAGATTATTAACCTGATATTTAATAGTTCAATCGTGGGACACGAGGGCTTATTTTTATAAAGATTATTTCATTTTTCTTCTTCGTAGATTTAACGCTTGGTATTTTTATATTATATATCGGCTAGTGACTACAACCCGTGAGTTGCATGGGGAGAAAAGCGTTCAAAAATAGAAAATTAAAATTTGAATTAATATTTTGATACCGTACTTTTGAAGATCTTGTGAGGTTAATTTTTATTATTTTTAGAGGTGGCAATGAAATTTATTTAATTAATATCCATTTAATTCATCCAATAATTTATCTATCTAATTCATTCATAAGACAAAAAATAATTTAATGAATTTGATCAAATCCATCCACTAACTCATATGGATAGATTTAATCTATACATCTCATTTTATAAATCCATTGGATATTATGTTGTCACTTATTAAATTAAAAATTTTTAAATTAATTTTTTGGATGAATGTATATCCATCCATTAAAAATATGTTAATGAATGGATTTGATGAATTTTATCTTTTAATGGATGGATTAGATTGAATATTTATTAAGAGAGTTTAGTGGATTGTTAATGGATTAATGGATTGTTTTGATCAATTCATTAACAAACCAATCCATATTCATTCAATCCATCCATTTTGACACCTCTAGTTATTTTGACGTTGGGTGGACTTATATGGTTAACATTCAATGCAAGTTATTTTAAAGTTTAAAATGATTATAGTGAAAAGTGGATATTAGAAAATGTCGTTTGTCCTTTGCATGTGAAATAATTATATATCTTTAGTCAAGTGGAATGAATTTGAGATGAATTGGTTCTTAGCTATTTGGATATTTGGTCGGCTCAGAACAATTGCCCCCAAGACTTTATAAAGTACTGAAAGAGTTCGGAGAAGTCTTAAGTGATGTTGGTTGACCTCCAGGATGTTGTTCGAGGTAAGCAAGACATGAAACATTATAAGTCATTTGGAAAAAAAATGGGGAACAAGCGTATTAAATGTGCTTTCATCAATGCGCTTTCATCATGGGAACGTTGCGTCGTCTTCTTCTAATATGTGTGGTGACGTGACTAATTAGGGCATGTCGTAATTTATAGTGTACTCGAGTTGGCATTCATCCACAAAGGGGAAATATAGTCGTTTATCCTGTAACTTCTCTTTCCAGTTGGTCTGAATCCTCCAGGTGGCACTGCTTGTGAATATGAGAAATTGAGTGCCTGGAAGTTTTTTGCAACCTTTGACATTTAAACATACGGTAAATTTCTAAGAAAATGCTTTTTTTTCTTCCCTGTGAGCATTCATTAAAGCGATTCACAATGCCTTGTTCAAAGCCTTTGCCTTTCCTTTTCCTTTCTATTTTATCAACAACTCGCAGTCAAGTATCTTCCTTAACTCAGTTTTCATTTCGGTATTTCCTGTTTTATAGATAGGACGAGTGATAATGTCATTAACCTAACGAGTGATTCTGAGAGTGATACTTCTTCTATTTCGAGAGCGGGAATATCCACTTATTCTCAAATCCCCTATCTTGATCATGATCTTCTGAATCAGAGGTCATACCTTTATCTAATGATTTGAATTAGAATGAGTATTTGGGAATTCTCTAGAAGAAAGAACTTCTTCATCTGATTCATTAGATGCCCTTATGCCAAATGTCGGCAAAGACGTGAATCATGTTAAGGTCCAGATGCCCCCTCTTATCTTTAAACGAGAAGGAAATACATGCCAACCAACAAAGGAGAGAACACACTAAAAACTTTATTCAACTTTGTCTGAAGACCAATAATTGTGTACCCAACAATGCTAAGATGAAGGCCCACTTGGATCTTTGAAGTCGACCAGATGCAAATAGTCTTGATTGGGTGAATGTATAAGTAACATGTACTCCGTCTATTCTAAACATTGAGGTTGTTATAGATGTTGCTAGAATAGTGGTCGGCGATCCTCTGTAACGGTTCATTCTTCCAGTGACTAGGAAAGATAATATGTAGCTCATTTGACAACAATGTGATCCCACTACACGAGTGTTTATCCACACAAATGGGATTGCATTTTCCTTTTTCTGACATCGAAGTATTCATCTTAAAGCAGTTAAAACTTTCCCCTTCCTAACCTCGTCTAAGGTCCTGGGCGTTCATGAGGGCATTCCAACTATGCGTAGAGCATAAATCTTGGAAACCTTTCTTTGGATTATTCTTTGATTTGTTTTACCATAGGCATGCCTCTCAGGAAAAATTTCGAGCTCAGGGGCTCATTAGCTTCCACCAAATTAACCCTTGGTTCGACCCCTTGACTATGGACTAGGGCAATTTTTTAGAGTGTTTCTTGCTAGTAAAACCTCTCACACTTGCGGCCCACTTCACTTTTTACTACCTTCCTGACGATTTTCCTCACTTCTTTTAGAGATTATACTCAAAGTACTGGTCTAAAATCCATTTAAACCGGGACACCCATTCATATTGTAGCAAGTTAGGTTTTCTTTCTCTGGATGAGATAACAATGAAGGAGGAAATAGGATTTTGGTTTCACAATCTCGGTTATGAGCAAGGATTTAGGCCCAATGAGGTGCCTCTTACTGAGGTGAGAAAGAGGTGAATTGATACTTACGTTTTTGTGAGTGCAATCAACCAGGAGAAGAGGAAAAAGATATTTGGTGAGAGCAGAGTCTAATTACATTTTTTTACATGTGTGGTTGTGTTTTGAGGGTAAAATGGATCAGTTTGACAAGCTGAAAAATGTTTTATGACCTTGACAATGCTAAAGGCATTCAGGTTGTGGCGTCTCTTCCTTCTATCACTGCATCTTCATCGCCCTTTGCTATAGTTTTGGCTGCCGAGATTTCTACTTTTATCCCGAGGTAGAACAACTTGTGGATGTTGTGGCAACACACACGTGTGCGCGCGCACAGACACATGTACACACACGCGCACACACAAAACACACAAACACACAAACACACAAGCTAAAAACATGTTTTAAGCATATTTTTTCTTAAATAATCATCTATAAAAATGTTTTGAAGTCCTGTCACTTGAATCAGGAAATGTTTGAATGACATTTGACAAATTTTGTACTGTCTATTCGATTGGGACAGTAATTTTGGACAAAGAAATATTCTTTTTTCGTGTTACCCTCTAGCCTATAAATAAATGATCTTTCCTTCATATTTTCACATCCAGGATCATGAGCACTTTATCCCACACCTGACTCTCTCTCCAAAATTAATTTTCAACTTTCTCTCACTTTTATTTAGTCGTACTTTTTTTGAGAAAGTCATTTTGTTTGGTGAGGCATTATTTAATTTTGGAAGGGTAGTCATGTAAATTCACCAAGGAACATTCTTTTTCCTTGGTTGAATAATTTATCCATAAAGGGATTATTTAGTTTGATTTCGAAACTAAACCCTTTAAAAGATTTGGTTTGGGGATTTAGTTACTAAGTCGCCAGTTCAATTTGAAAGCTCAACCCGTTAAAAAGCTTTCTCCGGTTTGTGAGTTCAGTCCAGTTTAAAAGTCGACCTAGTTTCGAGATAAGCCCATGCAAAATCTCAGTTCAGCTTGAGGACTAACAATTTCAAGCTTTTGTTTGAAAAAAAAAGACTATCCACTTCAATCTGTCGCTTGGAAGGAAAACTGCTTATCTTCGTTGTTTGGTGTTTGGTTTGAAGTTCGCTAGAAACTTCATTTTCCTTGTGTTAGCCTAAGATTTTTAGCTTAGCATTTCGACATGAATGTATGATATAAGTTATATAAATATTCTATGTGTAGATAACCAAGTCATATTTTTGACATCAAGTCACAAACTCGATAAGTTAACCTTTTCGACAAATGTGATTGGATGACTTAAAAGTGTTTCGGACAACAGTGGCAATTTGAAGAAGTTATGTGTCGAGGAAACGTGGAAACAAATCATAAGACGATAGCCCATATAGCAGCATGCATGTTAGATTTTGAAGAGTTAGTCGTTTATGGTGGTTGATAGTGTACCCATTATATAAGTGAATTTCGACTCTGTAGCTAGGGGTCATAATTTATTGTTCTCTTTAGAACTCATACATCGGATTTGCTGAGATAACAAGTTTATAAGAAATGTATGAACTTGTGTTCCAATTTCAATTCAAGTGTTTTAGCGGCTTTATTGTTGTTTACTTATTTACTTGTTTTTGTTAATTTAAACACCTTTAGTTTGTTTCTTTTGTTATTTACATTAGAAATCTTTTCAGCACAATTAAATTTTCTCAAAATATTTACACAAAGTATCATTTAGGATTTTTGAGTTTGATCCTATAAGACCTAAAACTCGTGATTGCTTACTAAAAATACCAGTAAACAAATCGGCACACCTAATGGAACTTACTTTTGTGCAAAATCAAACTATTGTATATAATATATGTGCTTTTGTTGTTGTTTTATGTTCTTCACACATTTAAATGGTTTCAATCATTGAATGTCTATGTGTCTGAGGAGTGGCAAGCTTGTTAGTATGTCTCATCAATCATCAAAAGATTCACCCCCTCAAGGAGTTCCTCCTCCTCATAACAATGCTCCAAATACAAAAGAACAACCAATTTAAGTGATGGTTGATGGTGCAAGCACTTCAACAACTATTGGAGTAACTGATCCTTCCATGAGTCAAATGTTAGTTTCAACTACGACACCAGAGATGGTAATACCCCTACCACAACCAACTAGTCTTCCTACCACTCCCAATAATCTAAGTAATCCCCGACTGTGGGACTGGCAATAGTGACCTGTCAAAGTGGCCCAATCCATTGGCTTAGTCTAATGATTTTATATTTTAGGGTGTTTGCTCA